TCGGGCAGATCATGGGGTTCCCCTACCTGGCTCGCCACCCCCAGCTGTGGCTTTGCCTCTCCCATCTCGGAGCAACTTAGCCCGTTCCAAGTCTGTGAGCAGTGGGGACTTGCGTCCAATGGGGATTGCCTTGGGAGGGCACCGTGGCACTGGAGAGCTGGGGGCTGCACTGAGCCGCTTGGCCCTCCGTCCAGAGCCACCCACTTTGAGACGTAGCACTTCTCTTCGCCGCCTCGGGGGCTTTCCTGGACCACCCACCCTACTCAGCATAAGGACTGAGCCCCCTACTTCTCATGGCTCCTTCCATATGATATCTGCCCGGCCCTCTGAGCCTTTCTACTCTGATGACAAGATGGTGAGGACTTGCCAGCACACTTGGCCTTCTGTGGCCATATTCCTGAATGCTGTTTGCCATCCTATGGGCTTTGCTCAGGTTTCTTTCTTAAGCCCTCCTTACAGTAGTTTGGACTCTCTGCTCTCACTTAAGTACCTTGAGTGTCCTAGAGTCTTTTCTGGATTGTCTGTGACTCTCTAGCATGATGTGTCCTTTTGGTCCCCGGGGAATTAACCTAACTATTTAGAATTCTTCCTTGAGTCCCGAGGCCCTTCCTTTCCCTTGCTGCACCTTCTCTCTTAGGACGCTGCCTATGTCTAATTAATCTCTGGAGCTGAAGAAGGGCAGGTTCAGAACATCTGAGCTAATGTGGTTGCCCATTTCCTGAGCTACATGAGCTAGGCTGACTGCAGTTGGAGCCAGCCGGAGAGGGTGCAAGAAGGGGCCACGGGGGCAGGAGGGGGGTTTGGGGGCAACAGGGTGGGGGTGGAAAGCAGCTGGGCAACCATGCCAGTGCTTGGAGAGTTGCCCCAGGAGCTGCAACGCCGGCTAGCTGAGCAGAGGAGTAAGTGGGGAACATGTGGGACAGCCATGGCTGAGTCCGTGGTACACTCAGCTGTGATGGGCTTACTGCTCATGACCAGTGAGGTAGGGAGACCGGGATACCCAGTGAGGGGAAGAGGGTAGAGTTTGGGGGTGAAGCATGTATGGCATGGGGGAGGCAGTGGACAACATGCTGTTGAAAAGGTAAAGGGCCAGGTGGGATATGTGGGAACTTACTGATTGTACTCTCACCTCCAGGCTCATCACACACTGCTTCTGGGTTCTGGTCATGTTGGCCTCCGAAATCTGGGAAACACG